TTTTCCAGTCGTTATCTCTGAGAAAATGCTGAGATTAGTTGTTTAACTTTCTTCTTTACCTTTTTTATCGCACTATTTCCTTCTCATCAAACACTTGTTTTAATGAAATATTTTTGGTACTTGTAGTCAATTCTTATTTAAGACCCTCTTAAGTAATCTTGAAGATGTCATAAACGATATAATACAATCGTATTAGCAATTAAGATATTACTTAAAACCGTTTAAAAAAAAGAACTGACTATAAATACCGCCCACAGAATCATGTTAGCAATATAAAATTTAATTTTTGTAATAAAATTTTGTATTTCTTTATTCAGATTTATAATTAGGGATCAGTCACAAACCATCGAGTACAAGTTTCATGGAAATTCGAATCATTGTGTATTTGGACTTGCCATTTTGAGTCTACCATTTTGAATTTGGTAATTTTTTGTTTTAGATTTTGTTTTATTTTTACTTTATATTCAAAATAAGAAACAATGAAAGTTGTCACTCTTTTTCAAGAAGTGAAATATTGACTGCGTTCAGTAGAGAAACCGCTCACTGAGCGCTCCCTGAACAAAAAAGGGATTAATCTATGATTAATATGTTTGTTATAATTCGTAATGTAGAATAACTTATCTATTATCGATAATCTTTAATATTATATTCCTTACATATTTATTATTTCTCTTATTATTTATTATTTATTATTTCTCTAATGCCGTGTTTGGGCCGTAAGGTTAGGTAGCACTCAGTGAGCGGTGGAGGGACTTTTAATTACACTCAACTGACGAGTTGAGCTTTGGCGTTTTCGATCACGTGACCAGTTTGATACTTGAATCGAGCGTTGAACGTCAGCATGAAAATGCAATCTAAAACCAGAATCAGACTATGCATTGAAGATTGAAGATTGAAAGATTGAAATTTGACCAATCAAAACAATAGAAGCCCTTTGTCCCCATTGGTCAAATTTCAATCTTCACTCTTCAATGCGTAGTCTGATTCCAACTTAAGGCTGCGTCCCCATGGAAAAAGAAACAGCGGAACGAAATAGTGACAGAAAAGAGATAGGATGAGAGTATCCTCCTATCTCTACACGGGATGTTTCATATATACGTTTCTTAGGATGCATTCCGAGTTACGCATGAAGCGCATGATGCATCATTTGTCCTTGTTGTCCATCAAATAATAAAGAAGGATAAAACGATACATCATGCGCTTCATGCGTAACTCGGAACGCATCCTTAAACATACAGTAAGTGCAAAAAATATTCGTACAAGGAAATTTTTTATAAAAAAGTCTTATTTGTAGAAAATAAACATTAATTAGCAATTTTATACAATGAATACATTCTGTTCTAATATAAACAAATGAGCTTCGCATATATTTCTGATTTTAGAAGTTATATTCCTCGACTGTACGAATACTTTTTGAGCATCCAAACAATACAATTTTTAATTTTCGCTTATTTTTCAGATGATATATTTTCTATAATTAGTACATATCTTTTTGGTATATATAATTTTAAGAAACATACAGTCTATTTTATTCTTTATGAATGAGTTAATTACTCAGCAAGAAATGATTGTTAATTAAATGTCGAATTGACATCAAATTAGTATTGAAATCACCGTATCGATTCGACATCAATTTTCTCTGATCTGTAGTCTCTGAGATTTTTAATCTTTCCAGCGCTTCGGATCCCCCAGGTTGGATTAGGCTAACAACTTAATTCCGAAAAAAATCTATTGTTATGAAAACCTATTGTATAGCACTCAGAGGGAGACCCTTTTCTTCCTTGGGATGTTGCCTTATCGAATGTGTGAATGAACATACACAAAAATCAAAGATTTATTACACTTTGAACCGCCCTGAGTAAATCATTGTAAAGTTTAAAATATTTTTTGACATGACTAATTTTAAAATTTTTATACTTCAGATTCAGATTCAGTGATTCATAATATTACTAAATATGAATAGTTACAAAAAAATCGGATGCAAGAATATAATACCTTTACTTTTTAATAAGTGTTACATAAATATAACACCGTGCTTCTCAAAGGATTAAAACGATTTTAAAATAAGAATCAACTATGAATACTGGCGATAAATATCAAACCATATTATATTTTGCATGGCGGCAATTTTCTTACGTCGCCTAATAAATTATCCTCATGAAATTCCTAAGGAGTTATAGAGAGAAAAGGAATCGCTATTGATGAGAATGGTAAAAAAACACGTGCAAATTCCATACCGACCATATGAGTTCGAATATCATTTATGTGAATATGGTTTCCGTTATTTGGACAGGCAATATACCGAAGAATAAATATGTCCATATAGGGGTCAAAAAATGTTAGTTTTACATGCGAGCAGCATAAAAAGTCATCAATGCGCTTCAACTCACCAATGCAATAAAAATTATATCGAATCGTTAAAAAATTCGGTACTATTTATCCGTCAAATTAAAATTTATGTCAAATTTTATTTATTTATCTGTCATTAATATGATTATCGTAATATTGTATTCACACTGGAATTTATAATGCTTGCAACGAGTGTACGTGTCTATACAGTAAGTACGTTCTACCGATACATTAAATAAATCCTTGTGATAGATTAATTAGACTTTGAACTTTACGTGAACACACACAAAACGAGCGCCACTATCAGCGACAGGTACGAAGGTCATTTCAGGTCGATGACCTGAAATGCAGGATTATCGTATGACGAACAGATCCCACCCGAATCAAAGCATCGAGGAAAATTCATATCGTAGGAAACATCAATGCGAGTATCGATCGTATCATATATATTACTTTCGACCTAAAAAAGAAATGTTCCCCCTCTCCCCTACTTATAGAAATGATACGTGGAAATGGTTGAATTATATAGAGAATTATAATATATAGATGTTGTAAAAAAATTTAAAAATTTGAACAATATATACATTTAGTATTAAATAATTAATTAAAGTAATTTATTAAAATATCTTACAGAGATATATAAATATTAAAAGATGTCGTACTTTGCTCAAAAAATTGCATAGCACATTTTCTATAAATTAAAATCAAAATATGTTATAACTAAAAAGTTGTGAGATTCTAATAAGCTTGAGCACTTTACATTCTTATTTTAATGATTCAACAAAATTATTTTTAGATCGAAATCTAGCTAAATTTTTAGATATTTCAGCGTTCGTTCTTTCCTTGTAATTAGTAAGTAATTACTGCAAAATATTAATTGTATTCGTACATACTATATAATGCACGTATTGTTAATAGTTTTATAATACTTCGTTAACGATACAAATTATTGGCTGTTTAAGAGAGCCGTGAGATCTCGTCGCCACGAATGATTTGCGTAATTACGGACTTCATTAAGTTTACGAATATAGGCGCATAGAATGAGTGCGTTTGCGATTGAGTTGAGATTAATTAAGTTTACACGTACCGGCCGTTGTGAATTATGTCCGAAATCTCGACGGCGACACATCTGACCAAATGACCCTGAAGATTTGATAAGAGGAGGCAACGTGTCGGTGCAAAGTCATCGATCGACACAATTCGCGAATTATGATGCAAGCGGTCGATTATGAGATCGCCCGTTATTTCTTCGCGCGGTACGCATTACGAAGTGTAATCTGCGCATGCTGGTCAGTCAAAATATATTCACGTCAGCGTATCCATGAGCGAAGTAATATTTTCAATCGTGATAAATTGCTTGTGACGATGCCTGTCACTTATTTACCATCAATGTTGAACATGCGTTTTATCGTGAGCCAATTCTTCACTTTTGTTTCTAACTTGATATTTCAAGTACTTATCATGGCATATTCGAGTATTAAGGTAATATTTATATGTAATAAATTTAATTCACATCAATTATTGTAATAATTCATCAATATTTCGTGATAATTAACAATATATTAATATAATTTTAAATAATATACCATGCAAAATAAATAGTTATATTAACTGATGTTGCTTCAGATTATTTAAATTGTTAGCTATACTAATAAAATAAGGTAAATCAATAATTTACTAAACTTCTAATTGAAAAATTTCTTTTATCTTTGTTCTAAAAATTGCGTACCTATCAGTATTTTCTAAATTATAAATATATATTTTATATAAACTAATTTTTTTAATTAAATTACGAACAAGATGTGTTATAAGTTAAATGATTATTATTTACGTATTTAGAATGAAGATTTATATATAGGATAGTAAAATATTTTTTAATTTCTAAATTTTCTCAGTTTTCTTTATTTTAGTTTACTTTTATAAGAATATAAAACAAGATAAAGTATCATAATGTCTTTGATTGCGATGCTATCTAAAAAATTAGAGATTTTATAAAAATATTTGTATCCACTCTCTCTCTTATTATCGTTATGCGATGATGTTCAAATTATCTATATTTTATAAAAATTTATGTGTTTATCACTATTCAACAAAAGTTCAATAAAACGCATGTTGTATGTTATATTATTAGTTATTCTATGCAGCTACTATCTTGCGATTTGAATAAGTTATTAAATAAATTTAATTTAATGTTCAAATGTTTAAACAGTAATGTATTAGCAGTGTGATTCTATTCAATATATGCGATACTAATACATCTAGCCATTAAATAAATAATTTTTTATATACCTACGATGTTCATCATATTTTTCAAATGAAATGATACATCGCTGAGACGCAGCGTCGCGTTAAATGTCTGTCATTAGGGAACGAACTATAGAAACTCTTTTGCGGTCCCCACTTAACACTTCCGACTCTTTAACCAACGAGGCCCAAGTTTCTCGGGGTCCGCCTTCATCACCCCCAGAAATGCTCATCATCCTGTAAATGTAAACGATCCCCACCTGACTGCCGACCCCACCGCCAAGAGTTTTCTCTCTCTCTCTCTCTGTCGTTTGGTTACCTCTCCAAGAGAGGGGACTACAGTTGAGGCCGCACATGAGTATATATACACAGGCAAGAATAGAGTATGTAGCAGTATAAATGTAATAAGCTCGATTCTTCGTACCTTGTTCAGTTCGACTTTGCGGATACCGAATTTCGGCTTGAGCGGTGACCGACTTTTTTCCCTCTCTCTCTCTTTCTTTTCTTCTTCTTCTCTTCTAAGTTAGTTCCTTCCTTTTATTTTCCTTTTTTCTCTTCCTTTGCCTTGAAACCATTGTCATCATCTTTGAAATCCCCATTTTGCGGTGAGAAACTCTTCTCATAGTTCAGACATCGCGTATTTACAATAGCGGTAGCTGTTTAGCTATAAAGACGTCGAATGGACATAGTATATTCGAGCAAACGGAACTCTGTTAGTTTTTTTGTATCAAGAGGCTAAGAAAGTAAAAGAAAAAAGTTAACAAATATAGAGATTTCGTGCGGTTTATATATATATATATATATATATCAGTGATAACCACAACGACAGACACTCGAAGATATTCACGAGCGCTTCGATATCACGGATTTTTAATCAATCGGTGGTCCGTGATCCGTACGAGATGCTGGTAAAACAAGTCATGAAATGGCTTTGGCATATAATGGGTGGCAGTGAGACCCAGGCCTTTTACTCTCTTCTGACATTCATCAGTGTTGCACTGTCGACTTATTTGCTATATTTGAAGTATAACCGTAAATTACCTCCTGGGCCATGGGGACTGCCGTTTTGTGGGTATTCACCATTCATCAAAGGAGCTGTACACCTGCATTTCAATGAGCTGGCCAAGAAGTACGGTAAAATATTCAGCGTTAACATCGGCTCCGAGTTGACCGTTGTTATCAGCGATTATAACATCATACGCGATTCGTTCCGACTTACGGAGTTCACTGGCAGACCACAGAATGAATTCATGAATATTCTCGATGGCTATGGTGAGTGTTAGACACAGCAGATTTTGATAATACACTTTATCTCACGACTTTAGCTCTCGTATCATCGAGACAGGTTAAAACACTCTTGAACGGGCCGCCTTGCCCGTCTTTCGCGCGATTTCAAACGTTTCATTGGTTTTATCGGGAATTCTTCTCTCGTGCCGTGGATTCGGATTATTCTCAATGCCGACTGATATTGGAACTTTCTTTTTTCAGTACGTCTTTTGCGCGAAATTAGCGATAATAAAATTAAGATTTTGGAGAAAACTTCACGAATGATTTCTTTTCCGCGATTGTTTCCGTGATCGCTCGTATGTACATACATATGTGGTGGCGTATGACGGATACGCAGTAATCAATTTGTTTAACCAATAGAGTGCTAGCATTTGATTAGCTGGTCATTCATAATGTATGGTATACGCACTATTACATCTTAGCCCCTATTCTTGAAAAGTATCGCATACGTAAAACTAGGGAAATACTATAATATTTGTTACGTACACTATTATTTACGTAGTTTTTACCTAGTTTTTCGTATGCGATACTTTTCAAGAATAGGGTCTTCTTCCATCATGATTGTTTTTATATTTTCTGAATTATCGTTTCCGATCGGTCAGGGTTGAGGGTTTCTACGGTTGCTCCCCGGTCAATGTTAATTTCTGTCTTGCAATCAATCGTTCGTGGCAAATCATGAAAAGGAAACGATTCTGCGAAAGACGTGCCGCATATACGAGAGTTCTCGCGTTTCAGTATTGCTTTTGTTGCTGTTGCAGGTATCATTAATACGGACGGTGCTCTGTGGAAGGATCAGAGGAAATTTCTTCATGATAAACTTAAAATGTTCGGTATGACTTCCTTTAATAACAGAAATATGGAATCGAAGATCAAGGTAAGTACTATAAAACCAGATTAATAAGTCTATAATCTTATTGATTTATCTTATATACATAAGAGATATTATAAAATTTTAAAATAAATATTGAAGCATCTCTTTGCACGATATTTTTTAAATGTATATATTAAAATATATCATTTATATTATAAAATATATCATTTATAATATAATAACGTAATATATAGTAAATATATAAAATTTAAAATATATATTTTTTTAATTATTCTCCATTCAAATAAAATATATAAAAATACTTTATGTTCCTCTCTCTCTCTAAAATTTTTCAAAAAATTTAATATAAATTTTTGTAAAATAAACAATCATAATATCTTAATTTAGCACGAAGTCGAGATATATATGTACCTCTCTCTCTCTAAAATTTTTCAAAAAATTTAATATAAATTTTTGTAAAATAAACAATCATAATATCTTAATTTAGCACGAAGTCGAGATATTTCTTAAAAGATTAGAAATGAAACGTGGAGTGCCCACAACCTTAACATCCTCGCTCGCCATATCGATCAGTAATGTAATCTGCTCGGTTGCAATGGGAGTGCGTTTCTATCACGGCGACCCGCAATTCAAGAGGTTTATGGACCTTATTAACGAAGGATTCAAACTGTTCGGTAAAGTGACGTTTGCGAATTATATACCGATAGTACGTCTCTGTCCATGGATTAATAGCGTCCAAAATAAAATCGAAAAAAATCGATCGGAAATGGCTGAATTCTTTCAAGAAGTTATCAATCAGCATAGAGCATCATATAACGAGAATAATATTAATGACATTCTTGATGCCTATCTGTACGAAATTCAAAAAGCTACGGACGAAAATCGAGAAGATCAGCTTTTTGAGGGAAAAGATAAGCGTGAGTAGAAATCGATTTTTTTCAAAGGATTATACTAGTTCTCTGCACAAACAATATTAATAACGTTATATTTATATAATTTAATGATTTATATATAACGCGAAATCTTTTTTAAATGATTGGGCTTTTTTCTTTACACAGTTCGTCAAATGCAACAAGTTCTGGGCGATCTCTTCTCCGCGGGTATGGAAACGGTGAAGAATACTCTAGAGTGGTCAATGGTTTTCATGTTACATTATCCGGAAGCAGCAAAACAAGTGCAGATTGAATTGGATAATGTCATAGGAAGATCAAGATTACCCTCATTGAAAGATTTTGAGGAACTTCCGATCACTCAGGCGACGATTCTAGAGATTTTTCGCAGATCCAATCTTGTACCACTTGGCACTACACATGCTACTACACGGTAAATTAATTTTTGATTTATTACTCTCATATTACTCTTGCATGCTCTTCGCCGTCGTCCATTTCTTCGCGTCACCACATGACCGGCCCTTTCCCTTTCTCTCTGAGCTAAGAGCGGGTTTCACAACCGTCCTCGCCTTCTTCCTCGGCGGCTTTCCGTGTCTGGCATATCAGAACCTCGCACGCGCGTGCAGAGTCGTTTTGGACGATTATATTCGGCGAGCAAAAGTGAAAGCAAAAGGTGCCTGGCCCCTCGTCTGCTTTTCGGTCGGACAGCCCCGCCTTTGGTTCGAAGCGTTTAAGGTTAATGACCTTAAAACTGTTTCTCTTACAAAGAGCCTATTGAAGCCAGAGCAGGTGAATTGGACTCGATACATTAAGAATACTTGTTAGTAATGATCACTCACGAAAGCAGCGATCGCCGTTAGAAACAGCACGGACGACACGGTTTCACTTCTTCGCGAAGAACGCGGCCAGAAAGAGCGTGACGAACGCATGTGCGTGCGTGTAAAAAGCTAAGTTGACTTCATTAGTTGGTTAATATTTCGTGTAGTTGATGACTATTGAAATATACGATTATCAAGTATACAACAATTAAATTTTGCGTGAAATATGTCATGCTTCCTCTTTTAGAAATGACTAATAAAGTGAGCTAATTATTATCGATGATAGATGCTGAAAAAATGCCCTGATTCTCTCGAAGCTTCAATTATTTTTAATCAATTAATTCTCACCATTAGTTGGAATTTTCTAAAAATATTATCACAGTTGGAAAAATGTATTGAATTTAGAAGAAAATTGGAATTTTTAACAAATGATTAATGTAACTTTTACATTTATTAAGGCTGCTTTCCTTTGCACGTATAATGTATTATAGCATTTTGCCGCGCAGTAAGCGTTTCCGCGTATAGTGTGTAGAAGCTATAACGCGTTAACATGCCGAGACGCGCAATCATCCTCACTTCTGTTATAGAGTAAAATCAACACTCTTATTTTGTAAATTTTAACACATTTAATAAATATGTACAAATTGTGTTGCTTTAACATATTTTTTTAAATCATATTCATTAAGCTCATTTAACATAAGAGACATATTTTAAATTTACATATGAATGTGTTCATTACTTTACACAAAAACTTTAACCAGTAAATTTTTTTACTGGTTAAAAATAAACAAATTTTCCAACAGTGTAATTACTATTGTAGGGATGTAATGTTAAATGGCTATATGATACCAGCCGGAACGAGCGTGGTACCGTTGTTATATGCGGTGCATATGGATCCTGAACTCTGGGGCGATCCAGAAGTCTTCCGGCCCAGCCGATTCCTCGATTCCGAGGGTAAGGTGTGGCAGCCGAGCTTCTTCATGCCCTTTGGAGTCGGTAGACGAATGTGCCTGGGCAAAAATTTGGCGCGCATGGAGGTTTTCCTGTTCTTCAGTTCGCTAATGCACATGTTTAACTTGAGCCTACCTGAAGGTGCCCCATTGCCCAGTCTGCAAGGCAATGTTGGCGTAACAATATCACCGATACCCTTTAAAATTTGCTTGCTGCAGAGAGACCTACACTTAGTAGATAACAACGAGGTCTCCGCCAATGGACCCTTGCGTAACATTGGCCATTAAGTCCTCAACGAACTTTAAACCACGGGCACGGTACTTGTTCCTATTGCCGCAGGAGAGGCGAACAGGGAGAGGAGAATCTGTAAGTCGCGTGTTGACGCTATGGGGTCCATCACTACGCATGTCGAGATGGAGATCCGTAAGATTGTTTAATTGTACATTAATTATCGGAGAGTGATAAATGATTGCGCTTCATCAAAATTTTTATGTAAAATAAAATATTTGCAAAAAATTTTGACATTATTCTATCTTCAAAAATTTGCAGATTTTTTTCATAGATTTAAAAATAAGCGATTTTTAGTTTAGAGATTTTAAGTTTACAAAAAAAACTTGTTCTAACTCTTAGAAATTAGGAATTCTTTCAAGACGTAATCGATCATTCTCTGTTATTTAAAGTACAATTTAGTGAATATAATTTGAAATGAATGATTCTCCAAAAAGAAAAAAAAATTGATAGATCGTAAAAGTTACTGAATAATTCTGCTAATGTAAAAGAATCACATAAGTTAGGTATAAGAGCTAGGTTCTCGAGTGTATATCCAATACTCGACATGCCTGATTAATCCGTTTAAGTCACTTTGGTATGCTGAGATTTTATGTAATTTTATTTAATTTTTGAGTACTATATCCGTCATTTTATTATTAACAAAATACTTTTTACAATTTCGTTTTTTAACTTTGATGAGAGACATCCAGATTTTAATAAATTTACAAACTTTTTTATATATATTTCGAATCAACGCACAGTTTATAGAACTAAAAATAAATTTGCAAAAATTTATATATAAATATTATTAAGCACCAAGATCCGCTTTGACTGAAAATAGGAGTCTTATTTAATTTTTTATTATTGGTCCAATTTCTATTTATAATTTTTTTGTTTTTTCTATATTTTTTTAATTCGTAATGTTCGCCGTACCAAAGTGACTTTTTTTTACCACGCATATGAGATTAAATAATGTCAGGTTCATCAAAAATTTGATCAAGGAAATAAATAGTCAACCGTGTAGAAACGCGAGTATCATCGAACTGCTAATTGTGATACCGTTATCACAATCCCGTTAAAAATTCTAAGTAGTCATCTTATACTAGCGCCGAGACCATAATAATAGTAGATTAGTTTTTTTGCTGCGGAAGGAATTTTTTTTGAGAGATTAGCCAATTTACTTAATTTGTTAGAGTACAAAAGGAGCTTATTTTACAACATTGCTCCCTACTTCCTCGTCCCCCCTTACTCTCTCATTTCATATCAAACTCATCACTCCAATTCTCCGATCATTCATAAGTATTTATTGCTTTGCAAATATTACTTTATTCCCATTCACCCTTGCTCCTCGCCTCGTATTTATTCACGCTTAATCAGCGAAATTGACAGGATTCCGACGTGTCTCGGACGAAATTTCGACAGTGATTTCATACGTGACCGTCAATTCTACCCATTCTTTATTGTACTAAATCGTGGCTCTCAACGAGATGTCTCACACGCGTGTTGAGAATTACGTTCACGATATTAAAGATTTCAAATGCAACCGATTTCGTGCCTAATGAATAACGCCAATCTTGCTATACTATACTAAATCGTGACTCTCTCACCAGAGTGTCTCGTCAAGAGCTGTCGACGTTAACGACGTTAACGACTTCAAACGCGATCAAATGACACCGACCGCTCTCTCGAACGCCGTCGATTCGCCATAGATCTCCGGACGAACGAGGATAGCATAGCTCATTATCCGAGGCTCCTCTTTCGTTCACAATAATAATAGTAACCCGTTATTAAAATAGAGAGAAAGATAGTAAGCGAGAGAAAGAGAAAGAGAGAGAAAGACAGTATATTTTCGTAAATAAATATATGATAATTTTGATTGTCGCGTATACGTTTGATGTTTAATGATTTTAATATTAAATATAAAGCTGGTCGACAAATCACGTGCCGTTTGACGAAAAAATGCGAGACTGCCCCTGCATCCGAGACCGTTCGTGCCAATATTGCGTTGATTTTTCTAACGATTTTTCTAACAGTGCGATATAAGCCGCTCCGGAGTCGGCTGATCCACGAATCACCCGGCCAGGACGGACCCAAGCCCGTGAGCAATTTTCGTGAAAGTTGTTGTTATGAGATCGTTTTGAGATTTTGTTGCGACATCTGCCATTCGACGATCGCGCAGCACTGCGCAGTGCGGTGAACGTTTGAAAATGCTAGAATGAATATCGTTCAGACCGATCAGATTTATTGGTTGTCACATGGCTCGGACGCGGCTGCGAGCGCGGACTGAGGCTGTGAATCTAAGAGACCCGGGATGTACGGTCGATGAATCATTGTGACGTCGTCCAATCCGATTTCCCAAAGATATCTCAGGCTGTGCATCCTAAAATCGGCGAGGAATCGCGTACTAACGATTCCGATCTCGCTCCTAAGATTAGAAGCTCGAGTCCAAAACGTGTACCCTTATTCTTAAATTTAAGCGTACTCGACGACTGATGGACCCGCTTCCACGGGGTCAACGCCGCGCGCGCAAAGCTCCCTCGGTTAAGTATCCGATAGGGCGTTAATTAGTCTTACGTTAGCATGCATGAATTACTGAATGCCGTATTGTGTTCACCTGTCGACAGCGAAGAACGTTTGATGTTCTTCTTTCTTTTGTAAACAATAAAAATGTGCAAATGAGATGACCGTCGATTTATTTATCCCTATCACAAAAATCACTAAAAATATTGTTATTCTTATTAATAAGAATTCATTTTAAAAAATTCAATTAGAATTAACATCCATTTCGCAAATTTTGAAAAGATTTCATAAGTAAATTTTCGAAAATTACAGCACAAGATAATGATCCTTTGATTCTATATTTTTTAAATTATAAAATAACGAGCATATCCAGACATATTTTATTATTTGGCAACAAAATAACAATAATATTTAAAATGCATAGAAATATCACTAAAGATTTCGGCTAGAAATGTCAAGGAAACATACATTATCATTTGTAATGACGAATTGAATGTTCATCAGCCGAATATTCCAAGAAATCGAATTCTTAATCGATCGTTACCGCGAAAAACTTCGTTGGAAACTGCAGTCTTGGAAACCGGATTCTTAAGGATTCTTAAGGAGGAGTAAAAAAAACTTGTGATTCTTCAGCTGCATGCATCATCGGCCTTCGGCTCTGATCGCGCGCTCATCCCTTCCTGCCACTACTCAATACTTCGAGGACTTCTGCTTGAAGCCTACGAAAGAGTATTGAGCTGGGCCTAGCTTTCTCTTCCACTGATCCGTTCAACCTCGCATTTGGTAAGACACTTTTCAATTCGTACAGTCAATTACGAATAGATCCAATCTCGCTAATTACTTTACTTTAACTGGGTGCAGATTAAAAAGAAAGCCATAACTAGTATCAAATTCAAACAAAAAACGTGCCGCGTTCGTTGCTGGAACATTTTTATAATATTAATGATGATTATGAAACTTATTTAAATGTTAAACAATGAATTAAGAGGAATACAAGATATTTTATCACATATATTTTAGATATCAATTGAGCGCTGTTTTTAAGATTTTTATAGCTATAATTAATGGTTTATTATAGCTTGAGAGCAGTTGTCAACTAGAATCATTAATTCGATATTTTCACGCAGAAAATTTCAACAATTCTTGAAATTTTTGAAAAAATATTATAATTTGAAGAATAAGAAAAATTTGGAAGTCTGTCAGGGTAATTATTTACTGTTTCTCTCTGTCAATAATTACGCGTATTGTCTCGTATAGTATGTAAGATTCATGGGACATCGCAGAACGAGGGACGAACGCTTGGCGCTCGCTTACATAAGAGAAACTCACGCGTTCTGGGTTTCTAACGAAATATCATCGCTGAGTACATTACGCCGAGTAAGGTTAATGACACGAGAGTCAAGTGGCCCCAAACCGCGCAAGTTACGTAAGGTCAGCTCACGCCAATACGTCCCAGGGACGGTGCATTGATAATAGCGCATTTCCTGCAATATCGTACTATACGAAAAATGCATTGGTGTCCCAGGTGTGCAACCGCGACACGTGGCGCTTGCTGCCCCAGTAAGGGCCCTTTTACTTCGCGCTTCGGCATATAACTTCGTGGCCTTTTCTCGCCGAAGAGTCGGTCGAGCGCCAACTGGCCTGCCACAGTAAAGACAGAAAGTTTGTGAAGAACCGTTGCTTCAAGGCTTGGCTCAATGAAGCAGGAAGAGGCGTTTTGTGGTTTATTTTCTTTTTTTTTATTATACTGAGCACAAAGTTGAAAGTATGTTAGAGCAGGGTCTTTTTATGACCCGAATCGTTTGGATTTCTTCATTTTTCTCCCGATAAAAGTTCGACTATCGTAATATAATCTATCAAAAAGTTCCATGTAAGAATTGATTGACGTTCGGTTTCGTTCATCAGTTTTATGTATCTCTTGTAAGTTATACTTATATATTTACATTTGTTCCAAATTTCTATTGTATTAATTATTTTCTGTATTACACATTACTATAATCGCAAAAAAAATTTTAAAACACCTACAATATTTCTTAGTAAAAGTTATTTAGTAAAAGCTATTAATTTATTCTCACGTGAATATAATTTATTCTCTCGTCATCGATATGAAAAATGTCATTTAACTTATTGTACGATAAAGATATAATCTAAATTAGATTGATAAATTTGACAAGAGAGTTAAATAAAACTAATTAATTCCTTTACAGTGCTGTTTTATATATATTTGTGTAATTTTATGTTTGCTGCGCGATTCATGTTCACACTGCAATTCCACAGTAATATTTAAAACGCATGGAATATATTGTCGAGAAATAGGAAGAAGCAATACATTTATCATCCATTTCGATTTCGGAATCTTGACCTTTTTTCTTTCTTTTAGAGAAAATGTTAAAATTCTTAAAGTTAGGATAGTACATTGTAACATAGCTAATATAAGACCAGGACTAATGCATTTTATGTAAATCAATATGGCACGTTATGCTGGATAGTTGTTAGTCTGATGCTATGCTTATTTTGCGTGCTATTGCTTTTAGGGCTTTCGTCTTCTTTATTTTCTGCAATATTCTTGTGCATCAAGGGAATAGAAGAAAACATAGCCAATTTCGACGTGCCTAGAAAATAATATAAGAAAATTCCAACCAATTTCGACAACCGAGGAATAATAGAAGGAAACGCAGCCAATTTCGGCAGTAGGTGAACGGTGCGCTTGTAGTTCACCCAAGGCCGCTACATTGTGAGATAAAAATGTGTGTTGCATAACACTGACGGAATTTCATGAATCCGATGCGAGAAAAAGAAGAGTGAAAGAGAGAGACATGGAGAAAGAGCGAATTAAGCGAAGGGGCGGCGCGGTTTATGTAAAATCATCTCCCAATGCCCGTGATCGTGGTTGACATTTTAACGGGCTTGTGTCTTCGTATTGAGAACGCATGGTGGTAAAAATGCGCCAATGCGTAAAATACGAGCGATGTGCGTGCAAATAAGTGCCGCTCCATTTCCATAGGGTAGACATTTTCTCGCGACTCGCCTCACTCCGCGCGTTTTTAATAAAAAGCGTTCCTTTTTAATATCGACGGTCTGAAATATTTGTCGATGTTGAAATTTAACTGCTGTGGTTCGCAATCAAGCTACATAACCGGCACGCGGACACACATCTGACATCCTGCAGCGTTCGTTATACCGATCTCGTTAATATTGCCTGAGAGATGTAAAATCGAAGCGCATTTTGTTCCTTAATTTAATTCTCGTTCAGCGTATAATTATTTGGCAATTTAATTTGTGATATTACTATCCCAGTTTCAGATTTTGTTTAAGGAGATTCTAAAGTAAAGTCCGAACTCCGATTGCTGTTTTACCGATAAAATGCGACACATCGGCACATTTTTATATACTAGAAGAGAAGGTATTATAATATGACACCCCAGTTACATTTTACACAATAACTTTGTTAATAATCAATATTTAAGTTTAAAACTTGACAATTATATTCGTTAAAATGTTGTTGAATAGATTCTAGATTCAAAGTTACGAAATATTTATTACTTAGGATATTATTAATAAAAATGTGGCGACATTGCATAACGACTCAAAGAAAAAAATGGATGATAATATGGTCTTCCATAAAAGTAGCCTTAAAATATTAGTTTTATTTAGAAAACGGTATTTAGTTACAAAATTAACAAAAAAGTAAAACATTTTAAAATGTATGTAAATGAATGTATATAATTTCACATAACTTCTGCATATAAGCTGCTCAGTACTAAAAATTTCAGTACTAAAAATAGTACACGTAATATAAACTATAGATTAACAGTAGGTTTACTACAATCGATTAACTACAATCGATTATTAAATAATTATTTTGATATAAAAACTTCAAAAAAGAGGCCGTGAGTAATCAATATCCAAGAGGGCCACATTAGCAAAATGTCATGCTATTGTTTAAATTTGCATAACTCAAAATATATACAGTCAAATAAAATGTTAAATAGAAAACAACATACTCAAAAATACATATATTCGTGTGATAATACGCTCAAGTTTAAGAAAAATGAGAAAGTAGATGTAATTAAATGTTAAAATGTACCTTAGAAACGTTTCGAAATACTTGAAAGTGAAAATGCGTTATAATAAGTGCTGACTATTGTATAGTATTAGTATATTGGTGTCATGATGTAACGGCGAGCTACTGAACAAATAATTTCATAAGTAATCATTAGGATTCGCTACATAACAGCGGAGATATTAAGGGAGGCCACAATATATACATTGATCATAATACCACCTTCTCCTGTATCATATTTATAGTCTTTCAAACTGCGCACCGAATCGGTTTTCTGGATTTATAAACGCAGATTAAACGACTGGAATATCACGAATTAAATTAAATTGATAAGCAATTCTTAATAATTTTTTATGCACTTTCAGGCATCATATTAGCAAGATGTTAATGTTCTAAAAAACTGTAAATAATTTATTGCGAAAAATATTACCTCAGTCGGGAGAACGAACTTTATTCACTTACAGTGGTTACTCGTAATTTGATCCGAAAAATATTTTAAGTAGATTTTTATTCAAATGCCTATTCTTAATCTTTAATTTTTAATCATAATTTTTTCACTTTATCTCTTTATAGTTATAATTATAATATATGTATAATTATAAAATATATGTCTTTATAATATATATATATATATTAATTTATGTGTCTGAATCATTCCATTATTCGTGTACGCGATAGTTAAATACGTATGGTGATTTGTGGGACATACCCATGACGATTATTGGGCAAACCGTTATAGCGGCATGGCGATTACTCGTATATTTGCGCCTTCTAACCTTTACGAAGGATTTTCTCAACAACGGCAATAGATAAAAAAATTTTAGAGAGACATTTTTATTCGTCACAAAAAATTAATTTAAAGTAACCCAAAATAACAGTCACTCACTTTTCAATCTGAGCAATATAAATTTGCAAAGTCAAGCGTTTTGGTTAACGTGACGATTACTGGGCCAACTACCTACATAAATTTTCGTAGAACAATAGCGTTTTAATTAGACGTCTAATTCTAAGCATTCTACGTTGTTTGTTCATGTAAACTACTAGTTTGTAGACCATAATTTCGTAAGTACAGATTGCAAAGCTTTTAAATCAAGCAAATGACGCTATATTGAAATAAAAAATGGTAAAGATCTCAATTAAAATTTTTTTTTCATTCTCGGCATAAACTCTACCTCACAAACGCGTATTAATGCGTATACTTTAATCCTGAAAAAAAAAGGATTTTCAAATCTGTAAAAGAGAAAAAGTAATTATCATAAAAAAAATTATTGAAACACAACAATAAAATATTAATAAACGGGCAATGAAAGCATTAATACAGCGCCGTAATTGGAGCGCAATTCGTATAACATATTATCAATAATTTTACATTGAGTATCGATACAAACTTGATGAATATTGAACTTTTCGGTTTCCTTCAAACCATCATCAGCAATGATAGATAATTTACCATCAATGTCATCTTACAAGATTCATAGTCCGCAGATGTTGGAAATAATTTTTATACTAGACAGAGGATGAACATTTTCCCTATTTTCTTGTTGAGAAAATGTCTCTTCGCTGTTTAATCAAGTGCCTAACCTCCACTTCCATAGATCACAATCAATTATTCAAAGCGTAACACACACATCATATTACAATAAATAAAGCCTTAATTTTACATTGGATATAGAGAAATAGTTACAAGTATTATTCATATGGAAGTCAGACTTGCAATGTACTTAAAACTAGATAGATAGTTATAATTAACACTAAAATATTATTTAAGCATTAAAAAATAACAATTAATATTTAAAACAGGAGTTAATAAAGGGTATTATTAATTATTTTTATTTTTAATTATACATATTATTCATATACAAAAAATAATTAAAGCATATGTATAATATTTCCATCAAATTCAAATGTATAATTTTGTTGTATATAATGATGTCACACATATAAAAATAATATCGTTACACAGATATATATGTAAACTTATTCTCGTGGTGTAAAAACCAAACGATGTGGTTTCGGAAACAGGGTAATTCCGCACTCGCCTTCCAGATCAAGGCGCATACCGGATGGTACGGAGATAACAAATGAATGAAGAAATCTTGCGCCGAACAGAAATAATATCATCTTTGCCAATTCATCACCGACGCACATACGTTTACCTATTATATTGTATAAAACAACAATGTACATTCAGTATCGTGTGAGATCAGACTGTTTCTGATTTTATTTTCTACTTACCTGCTTGATACGGTAGAAAGGCTTTCGGTTTGGTGAGGCTTCCGTCTTCAACAATAAATCTCCCGGGTTTAAACGAGAGCGGATCGTGCCAGTACAAAGGGTCTGTATGAATAGCCCATTGAAATGGAATAACCATGGTGCCTTTTGGTATGTCGTAATCGCCTATTTGTGTATCCTGAATGCAAATCGTTTTGAGTTTATTTCAAATTTTATTTTGAAGAAATTGACTGATTACAGTCGATTATTTTTCTCACATTCGATTGTAATTGGTCAATTTCTTATTATAATTTCTTACATTAAACTTACTTTGCATATTATAAACAATGCATAAGACAGTAACTTAATGCTATTAAAATATACGAGGGTCGTTTTAAAAGTTTTGAGTCTAACATAGAAGCAAGTATTTTTCGATCATATTCAGTTTTATTTTTCAACATAGTTTTCTTTTAAGTCGACATACACTTTTCCCAGCTCCCGCCCCTTTAGCCCATTCAAATAATAGTTGGCGTTTTGCTCTGCAAAATAGACTCCTACAGATGCGATGACTTTCTTATTCAATGAAAATTTCTGTCTTCCAAGCCAAACTTTGAGCTTGGGAAACAGAAAAAAGTCGCTGGGGACCAGATCTGGTGAATACGGTGGGTGATCAATCAATTCGAATCGCAATTCATGAATTTTTCCATGACGACCGTCGAAGTGTGAGACGGTGCGTTATCTTGATGGAACAGCACTTTCTTCTTCTTCAAATTTGATCGTTTTTTCGCAATTTCTGCCTTCAGCTTATTAATTAATGATAAGTGTAGTACACTCCTGTTATTGTTTTAATTTTCTTTTTCAAAATAGTCGATGAACACAATTTCATGACTATCCCCCCCCCCCAAAAAAAC